TTACGCAGAAGGTCATAGTCCTTGCCGTTCATTAGCATGTTTTGTCCAAACGCTAGGAAATATGTTGAAAACCCAGTACTACGATGTACTTGTACAGATGTGCTTAAACAGATCTATGAAGTCGTTCGCTTGTTGTGAATAAATCACGGTGCAAATGTGCGTTGCCCAAAAACCGTTATCGGTAAACTCTATTTCGGGTACTCCGAACGTATAAAACAAATAGTTCTCCAAGTAGTCGCAAATCCGATTTGATGTACATTTCTTTAAAGGACACAAGAAATGAAATTTTGTAAAATGGTAAACAATGATGAGAATACCAATATTTCCGGTCTTCGATCTAGGGTATGGTCCTCAAAGATCAAGATATAGTTTTTTGAAAGGTCTTTCCGAAACCATAGGTTTACCCATAGGTGGTCGTAAAACGATATTTGAGCTTTTGGTAGACGTACAAACTGAACAATCTGCAACATGCTTCCTTCTTCTTCTTCCTACTTCACCATTCCAGGCCAAAAGAAATATCTCTTCAATTTTTCTACTGGTTCGCCTGTCCCACAATATAAGAGCTAGAGACACCAAAGTTTGCACAAATATGCCTTATGTGTACGCTGTGCAAGTTTGTTTTATTTGTTTGATTTTCCCCCCCACTTCCTCCCTATGGGGGTTTTCCCGATTTTCCATTCGTATAACCGCCTATATCTCACAGATTGTAAGACCTATGGACATCAAATTTTATTCCCAGATGCCTTATGTGAATATGCAGAAACTGTGTATTTTGGAATTTCCTTTCCTCTCCCCTTCCCTCCGCAATAATTTCCTGGAATTTTTCATTGAAATTCAAAAAAATACCTCCAGTTAGTGATTATGAGTCCGTATGTTGTTGTTACTGACATACACAGACACACACAAACATACACATACACGCATAATTATTTTATACATATGTACAGAGTATTTCAAAGTTGGGATACCCGACTTTAGCTTCTCTACTTGTTTTTAATAGTAATTGTCTTATGGCAGATGGGTAATATGAAGTATTGGTGGGATTGGAGATGGATATTATTGCTAAAAGGGAGTCAGTACAGATAGCTGTAGGGTGGGGAGAGAGTTCGGATAAACGTTTGGCTGGTGAGAATCGTTAGCTACTATGCTAAAAGAAGGTGTACCGTTCATTTTGGAGTCGTCGAGTAGGTTGTGCATGGAAGTTCAGCGGAAGGCACCAAGAGCAGATCTTTTAGAGGAATGGTACATTGTTTTTATTGGCTTTAAATAGGAAGTATGAGAGTTACCATAAAGATATTGACCGAAATCAATATTTGCCATTATTAGGGAGTTAATGGTGTTAATAAAGCTGAGCTGGCTGCAGTTGTATTTATTGTTGGAAACGCATTTTATTATGTAAAACTGTGTTGAAAGTGAAGCAGTTAGGTTAGATATATAGTCGGCTCAAATCTTTTGTTATATGTAATACCTAGTATTTTTAACTTGTCTGTATTTTCTATAGGGGTGAGAGCGGTAGAAAGTTTGATTTGGAAGGAGTGCTTTTTGCAAATATGTAGGTGCTTGCATTTAGAGAGCGACAGTGCGGCCCCTAAATGCTCGCTCGGAGAGAATGTCGGTGAGTAAAAGGTCTATGTCTATTTGAGAGCTATTGTTAAATTGTTATACTAAATGTGCAATTATACACCCTTTACGTGAGTTCAAATACCGAGAGAGGTAAAATCGATTAACATTTTTTTTTTTAAATTTCTATAATTATTCTAAACATATTTGCACAGTATTTCAAAGTCGAGACAAAGTCGGGACTTTAGCTTTTCTACTTGTTTTTATATAATATGTATCACCACTCATTCTTGGTGTCATTAACAAAAAATACGTCAAGCATTGTATTAAAAGTGTGTGGGTACAATAGCGTTAAGGAGTTCAGTGTATTCAGTGTGCCTGGTTGGCCTGTATACACATCCGACCAGGATGTTATCAATATTTATGCTTCCTGAGATGTGCAAAAACAGATACTCTATACTACTGCAACGACAGCTGTTTGCAAATCGCATGACATTTAAGATTATTTTTCACATATATGGCAACACCCCCTGCATTCCTCTCACAATCGAAACGATATACACTATACCCATCACAATATACATATTGATCATTAAGACAAGACACAAGCCACGTTTCAGACACACATATTCCATCTACATTGGAGTTAACACACAAAAATCTGAACAGGGCTCGTAAAACGAGGCCAATGCTGCACGCACATGCAGTGCTGCCTTGAGCAGTATCGTGCAGGCCGGCAGAGGCTTTGAGCAGTTTTGAGCAGGCAGGCAGCGGCCGAACACTCGATCGTGCTAGACAGGCATATATATGTATGTGTGATGTGTGAAATTTGTATGATGGCATGCTTGTGTGTATATATTTCAAGGCAAGAGACTCTCAGAGACTATAAGATATAGAGACACCAAATTTTGCACAAAGATGCCTTATGTGTGATTTTCCCCCTCCCACTTTCCCCCTATGGGGGTCATCCCGATTTTTCATTCGTATAATCGCCTATATCTCGGAAGCTATGAGACCTAGGGATACTAAATTTTAGTCCAAGATGTCTTATGTGAATACGCAGAAAATGTGTATTTTGGAATTTCCCTCCTTCCTAAATTTTTCACAAAGATGCATTATGTGTTTATAGCGAGTTTGTTTTATTTTTATGATTTTGCCCTCCCCCTTTACTTCCCCCCTATAGGGTATTTTCGGAAACGCCGTTCGTATAATTACCTATATCTCAGAGACTATAAGACTTAGGAGCACTAATTTTATTCCAAGGTGCCTTTTATGAATATGCAGAAAATGTGTATTTTAGAATTCCCCTTTCCCCTCCTCTCATCCGAAATTAGTGATCCTCCATAACTCCATTAATTCTCAGGATTTCGAACTCAAATGTTGCAAATAACACCAGAAAGTGATTATGTGTCCGTCCGTATGCCAAGTTTCACTATGATAGACCGATTTAACAAGAAGTTATAGCCATAAATATATTTGCTGCTGCAGCGCTGCACATACACTCACACAACCGCAATTGCTATGTAAATGTGCAATTATACACCCTTTACGTGAGTTCGAATACCGAGAGAGGTAAAATCGATCAAATTTTTTTTTTTATTTTCTATATTTATTGTAAACATATGTACAGAGTATTTCAAAGTCGGGACACCCGACTTTAGCTTTTTTACTTGTTTTGTTTTGAGCTTACGTTTATTGAAAAAAATAGTTTTTGGGGAAGCAGAACAAAAATGGATTTGCACTAGTTTAGCTGCTTATAGTATTTTTTATATATTTTTTATATTTACTATTTGATTTTTTTTTTAAATATTTCGGAGCGACTGAGAAACACGTCTGCTTACGTTGGAGGATCGAATATCAACTTCTTGACCTCTTTTCCAGCCCGTGTGATGTCTGGGATGGTGACCTCGCAGCCAGGTCTACGAAAGGTGGTTGCATCCGCAATGTTGGCCACTGTTAGTCCTAATCTAGCTGATATATCCAAAATCCGTCTGTCTCTGAAGTTAGTTACCGGAATGCCCCACTCCATGGCCCTTGAGATGAAGTCGCCAGCGGTTATTAAACTACTGCCTAGATTCTTCAATGGCGTCTAATGTTTTCTGGAATTCTTCCATGTTATCACTTGGAGTCAAATATCAGCTAATTATTGAGAATTCCTGACCTCGTACCCATACGAATTCCCAATCCCTTGGCTGTAACGATGAAGTTACTGTCTCCTGGCAACCATATTGCTGCTGTGCTATCTGCTATATATATACCACTATAGATGTCTTTGTATTGTTTGTGACGGCGTTTGCTTTCTTACGAAGAGCTTCTTTTAAAGCTAGGATTTCTGCATGGAATACACTGCAGTAGTCCAGCAGTCTGGAGGATTTTTTTATGCCAAGTTCTATGCAGAAAACGCCACCGCCTACGCTTTTGTCTAGCTTGGAACCGCCTGTGTAGATTTTAATCAAATTGCTGGGGCCCGGTTGGGCCAGAATTCCAGTCTTCCCTTGAGGGAATAATGGTACGAAAAGGACTGTGGAGGTACTCCTTGGGGGTACAATAGTGGCATGACCAAAGTCTTCCTCTGACTTTTGGTTGGTTTCATGCCGTCAGCGTGGGGAGAATTGGGAGAATACCAAGAATGGAGTGGAATGCAGCCTGCCGTTCAACTTTACTTAGTCTCTGCAGAGATGAGTTTTTGGTAAACCCTCAAGATTTCTTCCGGTTTTTCAGCCGACACCCTGTCCCGGGCTCGTGGTTTATTGGGCACGTCGCACCAATCTACTGTGAATAACTTGGCATCTGGATACACCTCTCCAAGTGCAGCAATGGGGGTCATCCGTTTGTGGCCAGATCCATCAACAAGCGGCCTTGCAGCTAATTTTCGACATCTGGCCATATGTGCCTTGTGATAAGACCCTCCTTGTTACCCATGTCTAGGACACCAATGAGGATCTTATCCTTTGCCACTTCTGCGAAGGTTCGGTGCAGGAGCTCTGGTCGCGTTCGCTTAGCTGGCTGTGGCATCTCTTCTGCCGACCTCTTTTCTTTCCTGTATCGTTTTTGCTGGCTTTAATTCCGGTAAGATTAGTTTGGCCCATTTTACCATCCTTCGACCGTCTGGTGACATATCTGGAGTAATGTGGTTATTCTGCAGTATGTCTGCTGTGCGTTTTTTGTCCTGAAACTTTGTGTTGCAGATTTACCAGCTGCTGTTTGGTTATTTCCTTTGGAAACTTCATAGAGTGTCGGAAGAGAAAAAGCATATTGTAAATAAACTTGTAAGCAAAAACACGTAGTCCAGCAAATGTGGGGAAGACCTGCTAGTGTTCTTATAAAATGTCGCCTACCATTTGATTATCAACATAAACCATAATACCTTCTCCCTTTTAAGTGAATCCTATAAAAATTAATGTTTTAAAAATTGTATGTGTTTTTCTTTTATTTGCAAGCTTTTACGGTTTTCAATAGTTTCATACTATTATAATAGTACTCTCAAGTTATGGATCCAAATCAGTATTTGTGCAGAAACGGTATGCAGCACCCATCAATTACGTCGACAATATCACCATCACCTTTGAATAAAGTTAATAATACTATCAACATGGGACAGGAACACAGTTTATGTAGCTCGAACCACTCACAAATGGGTTTCAGTTTAAAGGAGTTACTTCCACGTAATGGAAATACTAAACCTGTCGACGTAAATCGAAGCTTAAATTCCGCTTACAGCGTTTCGCCGTGCAGTAATAGCAGCATTTGCACAAATAACACCAGCACTTGCGGAAACTTTATCAATTTGATGTCGGTTCCATTGGGAACCTTGCAATATAATCGAAAAAAATTGTCATCTCATGAGTACCAGTAAGTAAGTACCAAAATTTTAAAACGTTCAAAATAAATGCTTCCTTTGTAGATCGCGTCTGTATTACAATACGACGGATGGAAAATGTCGAGATGACTACTATTTAGGTAATAGTTCTGTGCAAATTAATACTAGAAGCTTAACACCGCCTACACAATTACAAGCTCCAACGCAAGAACATTATCATCAGCTGCAGAATTCCCAGCAACACCATTTTCAGCAGACTCTTCCTCATAATCACCACCAGCTTAGTCATATTCCTCAGAATACTCAACATTTTTGTAGCTCCAGCTCAGTAATGCACCCAATTGATGATTCAATCAACTGCGAAGGTTTTTCAAATATTACTGGGCGTGTTGTGGCTGCCACACAAACACAACAAAGTAATATCAACACGGAATGCGACCAAATGTTACCGCAATCACCAGAACCTATAGGACCTGTTAATATACCTGCTCCGCCATTGATGTACACTGTTCATCGAGTTGTGACTACAGCTCAGATTCAAACTGCAGTTGGAAGTACATTCGCATCTTCTGCAAGCGTTTCAAGTGTTCTAAACGCCGGTAGAAATGAGAATGATTGCTTATCATCAGGACAAGTTACATCTGCAATCTCTATACCAGGAAACGGTCTTTCGGATATAAGTAATAATGTTATTAACAATAACAATGTTATTGACACATTAGTAGGAGTTCGGAGTTCCACTGGTAGGAAAAAATATTGTATCAGATTGTATCAGATTTGAGCTTAATGAAATGCATTGCTCTGTAGGTATCTTGGCAAACACATCCTTTTTACAGAAACGTAACAATGGTGATATCCACCAAAATTCTGTGACATCAAACAGAATTTTTGTGGCTAACGCATCAACTAGCGCTAATTCTGGAAAAATTTCTTCATTGATGGCTCGTACTATGCAAAATGTAAGCTATGCTGAATATTAATCAGATCCCGTTTATTAACCTAAAATAAATTGGTTGTATCTCAGGTAATACCGACCTGTGTATATTTGATGTCACGCGTTGCTGTTCATATGGAAATAGAAGGGACAGCACAGTGCCCTTCTCAGGTGATGTTGGCTGCAGCTCTGGGGTGTGAGGAGCTTGGAATTTCAAATAAATTGTTAGCACAAAGTATATTTGGCCTATGGATGACCAGCACGCTGCTAGAAATGCAACTTAAGGCTCATCACTGCCCTTATGCTGTACGAGTTGTTTGGAAGGATTTGATAGAAAAATTTAGTTGTGGTAATCCAATCGATCGAAAATATGATGAGCCTATGATTGTACTTAAACGAAATGTATTTTTTTCGAAGAGAGATGAAGAAAAAATTAAGTAAATTGTTTTTAATTTAAATACAATTAAGTTATTGAATAACTTGGTAATATTTTACAGAGACCATCGTATTTTGGAGCTTCTGTATGAGGAAGCGAAAAATAATGTATTGATTGGAAGATATATCATGGAGCCAGTCCATGCATTAATGCTAGGCGGTATACAGGCTCGAATTGAACTTGGTCCATATAACTCCCATACTCACACCATTGGATTTTTTCGGTGAGCTATACATAAACTAAAAATGAAAATAATAACAAATTTATAAAATCAAACAGAGAACATCAATCGCGATTTTTACCATCGCATGTTGCAAAAAGCTCTAATTGGTTATGGTTACCCGTAAGTCGTAAAAACTCTGCCGAAGTAAAACTTTTGGAACAATTTAAGCGGGTGCCACATACAGCAACAACCCGAAAGCTAATAAGGAAATATTTAGAATTTTGCTGGGCTCTGCCATTTTATGGGTAAGCTAAATCATTTAGATGTATCACCAAAAATTTCATTCGATATAAGCATTATTATTATTCTGGCAACCCTGTCGTTGAAATCGGTCGTGGTTATTTTGAGCTCTGTGATTAAATATTTTTTAAATATAAACTGAACTTTTTGCCAAAGTACTACTTTGTCAAGTGTACACATATCTGTGACTGATTACCAGCGAATGCTTCACTTAATCGATTGCGGCTTACAAACGCTAAACCTCTAAGTGCAGTGAACAAGTGAGTTTTTGTTGTTGCTTTCCATCAGTGCATTCACATTTCGGTGCGCCTATATACGAACAACAAAAACAATCGAATCTCTAAAATAGAGTCAAAACCTTTCCATTCCAGAATTTTTTGAATAAAATCTTCGTTTTAAATCAACTTAAAACATTTTTGCTAATTACTTTTAGTGCGTGTGTTTGTGCTATTCCTAGTGCCATTCAACAAACATTGTTTTTTTCAAAGCATACGTTTAGGCTCTAACTAAAACGGACCATAATGTTTTCTTGCTGTTTTAAGTCCTGTGAGTTTGGCCATAAGCTTGGTTCAATGGACCCTACAGTGCAGTGCTGGTTGTGCGACGACGTTGGTCACGCGAAATGTGCCGTCTTTGGCCGGGTAACTGACTACTTAGGCAAAAACAACGGCTTAATCTGGTTTTGTGAAAAATTTAGTATTGCTACCGAAATGCGTCAGTTTATGAAGCAGACGCATAAAAGCATAAAAGAACTTCGTGCCGAGTTTCAAGTTTTCCACGAAAAATTTGTAGCGCTGGAAACGCCGTTTCTTGGCCTTAAGCTACTGTCTGAGTCTCCAAAAAGGAAGAAACGAAACTTGACTATATCCCAGCCTAACATACTTACAATCCCGGATAACAACACAAATTGTGCTTCACCTTCGACACCGGCTTACCCTAATCCTATCGTTGAAGCATTTGCTACACCTGCCGCGGTCTCACTTGGTGAGAGCGCTTCATCTTCGCGTTCACTTGCTGCCCCTATGAATAGTGAAATGCTTGTTCCGGGTGTTTCTTCAGCCATATTAATTGATAATGCTACTACCGACGTGATTGCTGCTGCTATTGCGGATATTCCTGTTACTGCTGCCTGTTCTGCTGTACCCACCATCGCTGCTGCTCCAAGACGCCCGACTTCTACTTCTTCTTCTGCACAGCATGATCCTGGCACCACTCGGGCCTTAGTTGGTGTCCCGCCACGCCAGTCGATTTTTGTATCCCGGCTAAGGCATGATGTTTCAGAGGATGCCATCAAGCTGTTCATTTGCCAAAATGTACCTTCTTGCTTAGCTGATGATGTTTTGGTTTCGAAATTCCAGTTTAAGTATAAGCGCGACATTTCGTCTTTCAAAATTTCTGTTCCTGAGAATTTATTTAATAAAATCGTTGACCCTACTTTCTGGCCAAAACATGTAGTTGCTCACGAATTTACCCGTAAACGCATTAATGCAAATAATAATTCTTCTTCCATAGCACCGTCTTCATCAAAAAACTAAATCATTCCTCTTCCCTGATATTTCATTATCAAAATGTACGGGGACTGCTTACTAAACATCAAAGGCTTTATTCAAACAGTACATCATTCGTTGCTAATGGTATTATATTAACTGAAACGTGGCTTAAACCCAAAGTATTAAACTCTGAAATATTTATTCAAAAATATTCTATTTTCAGACTTGACCGTATACACCGCAAAGGTAGTGGTGTTCTTATCGCTGTAGATTCTCTATTGTCGTCTGAATTAGTCTCATTAGATAATCCGTTTTTAATCGAGTTTATATGTGTAAAGCTCATATTTGCGCGTTTTTCTATATTTGTCACTTGTTCTTATATCCCACCTGCATCCGATAATGAAACTTACCTTCTTCACTGTTCTGTTCAATACAACGCATATCCAGTATGCTTAAAGATAGAGACTATTTGGTCGTTTTTGGTGATTTTAACATACCTGATGTTTCGTGGTCAGTATTAGAAAATTCAAATTTCCTAACTCGTTCTTCTGCCTGTCAATTTTTAGATGGTATGCTTGATATACCTCTTTTTCAAGTTAATTCTGTGTTAAACTCGTCAATGAAACTTCTAGACCTTGTTTTCTTAAATGATGTGTCAAATATGGTTATAAATAGAACACTGCCTTTGTCCCTGCCCGAAGATCTTCAAAATCCAACATTAGAGCTAGTGATTGATACTGAAATGTGCACCACCTTGCCTCAAAACCAAAATACGCGGGTACGTTGCTTTAAAAAAGCTAATTTTATTAAACTGAATTGTATTTTAGCGCAGCTTGATTGGTCTCATTTATATGTGTGTAACGATATGGACTTAGCCATTAATATATTTTATTGAGCTCTTAACTCCGCGCTTGATGCTTGTGTTCCTATTTGTACTCTACGGCCATCGCGACGTGTGCCTTGGTTCACTAAAGAGCTTTCCAAATTAAAGAATGTTAAGTCCAGGTTATATAAGCGTTTTTCAAAATCTAGGAACAAATCAGATTTTTACAAATTTAGTGTAGCCCGTTCTGAGTTTCTAATATTAAACAATCAATGTTATACGGAGTACTTGACACGATGCAGACTTAACTTTTCTCAAGACCCAAAGCAATTTTATAGTTTTTGTACGGCTTTAAGCCGGTAACTTGCCGGTATGGCAAAAGCAAAAATGGTTCACAAATTTAGTTTGAGTCAAGAAAGACTGGTGTCTTCCTATGCACGATTTATTCGCTAAGAAAAATAACACACTCGCACAGCTCGACTTCAATATTACAAGTGATTTTTAATTATCGCGACGCTACAGACAAACGGCCGTCGTAAGCACGAACAAAAGAGTGGCTTGCAATTATGCTGTTCGTAGACAGCTGCAGTGTTTGACAATTTTCTCTTAGGGCTAGTGCGTTAATTTCATTATTTATCTCTTAAGTTATCTTAAAACTAAGTGAAATGCCTTTACAGTTTTGTTAACTCAAAAAGAAATACAAATGGGTTTCCTTCAATGTTGTTTTTTAAAGGACTTACAGCTAACACAGATGCTGGTATCGCTGACCTTTTTTCAACTTTTTTCCAAGACACATACACAACAAATTGTTTCTCCTCTTCCAACATTAACTTTTACGGCAATATTCATGAAGCTAACTGCATATTCATGCCTGTTGTCGATGAACCTTCCATCTTGTTCGCGCTTCAAAATCTTAAGCAAAGTTTTGCGCCCGGTCCAGATGGTATACCTAGCTGCGTCCTGAAATTCTGTGCTGATGCCCTTAGCAAACCACTTTATAGACTATTCTCCTTATCACTTGACAGATGTCGATTCCCCGATATCTGGAAAAGTTCTTACATCTTCCCTCTCTATTAAAAAGGACCTAAATCTGACATTGAAAATTACGGAGGGATTTCTAAACTCTCTGCTATCCCCAAACTTCTTGAAAAACTGATGACCTCTCAGTTACAGCACCATTGTAGGTCCATAATTTCCCCTTTTCAACATGCCGCTATACCGCAACAAATCTCCTTGAATTCTCATCGTTCGTTATGAATGGGTTTTTAGCTAAGAGCCAGACGGATGTTGTATACACTGACTTCAGCAAAGCTTTTGATTCTGTCAATCATGAACTATTGATCCATAAATTGGGTCTTTTGGGATTTCCCAAAAATCTTATCGTATGGATATATAGTTATTTGTTTGGCAGAACACAACGTGTAATTTTTAACGGCGTACTGTCAAAAGCTATTAAAGTAACTTCGGCGGTCCCACAGGGTAGTCATTTAGGTCCTCTACTGTTTACTCTTTTTATAAATGATCTGCCATCATCCCTAACTTACTCTCGTGTACTAATGTATGCCGACGACGTAAAACTTTGCCTCCAGCTCCCAGAATCTGCGTATGAGCCTTTCTATGCGAACATTCGACTCTGTTTCTTCATCTGCTACAGACTGAAATGAAACGAGAGCCGATTTACGGATTAGTGAACTACCTCCTGTTATGATCCATCCCAGGCGAGTCTTCTGAATCACCGGCAATCCGGGACCCAGTTTGATCTGCCCAACGCAGAGCAGTTCGAAGAACAGGCTGGCGCCGATCAGCATGTCAACTTGTTGCGGCCTATTGAAGCTAGGATCAGCCAAACGGATATTAGATGGAATTTTCCAATGCGTCGTATCGAAATTAATGTTGGGCTGGTTGTCCGTGATATTCGGAGCCACCAACGCCGAAATGTTGGTTGAATAATCTGACGACCGAGACTCCAGACTAATGTCAACCGCGAATCCATTGGAAATGAAATTTGCCTCACCAAGGCCAGAGACTCAATTTGGTGTTTTCACTTTGCGCAATTGAAGCTGATGAGCAAGTCCAGAAGTAACTATATGCATCTGCGATCCAGAATCGAGCAAGCCACGGTAAGGTACCAATGTGCCAGCGCGACTCCTCACGTTGACAACGGCGGTGGCGAGAAGCACAACATCAGGGCTGAGATTCTGGGCTGAAGTGGGCGGATGCGGAGATGTGGCAATCATGACTTTGCGTTACTGCTTGCGTTACTGCTTGCTGAGAGGAATCAGAAACTTGGGCATCAGATGCAAACACGTGCACTACGGAGCCTTGCAGGTTCTATATTGATGGCCCTTTTGGAGACAATTGAGAGAGAGGGAAAGCTTTCTGGCCTCCTTATGGCGCAGAACTGACAACAGATTTGCGAATTGGGAGGAGGTGTGTATTGAATGACCCGTGGCATCACAAAATACACAGACTTTCGTACTAGGGTTAGTAGCACAAAAGACCGTCTATTGTTGTTAGTATTTTTGCTACTCTTTCCCACCTGTGATCCAGAATTGTACACTGCGATAGCCTGCTCCATATTTTCCAACTTCTGACATCGCTTTTCCAGAAATTATGTGAACTGTTGTAGCGTCGGAACCGTGTCAAATGGGACAGTTTCTTCCCATTTGGTCTGAGCCGCATTGTCCGCATT